ATCACTGGGGTGCACGTGCTCCAAGCAGGGCACTCTTCCCGTTTGTATGGAAGTGTATTTTATAGTGGGACCTTGCCTTTGCTCAGTATAGACAGGGTTCCCAGCCCCACAATTTTTAAGAACCGATCTACCTTCAAGTTGCTGCTTCTTACTTTTCCTGTCTTCTCTTTCATCTCCATCTGAATCCCATCCATCCTGGGAGTCCTTGATACATGACTGGATACAGGAGCCCCTCCTCTAGGAAGCCTTCCCTGATGTCCTCCGTGAATTGGTCTCCACCACGCATTTTGTTTTCATTTCTGGATTCCCTCCCTCTTCTTTCTCCCTTTCTCTCATTCCCTCTCTGTCTCTATATCTCTTTGTCCTATCCTCGTCTCTTTCTATTTCTTTGTCCTGGTGTCTCTTCTTCCCTCTCTCCCTACTGTTGTCTCTGTGTCTCTTACTGTCTGTCTCTGGGCCCCTTTATCCTTCTTTCCACGTTGTCTGTTGGCTCCCCATCGGTCCCGAAGCTCTCTTCCTCCTCCATGTCCCTTGCCGTGAGTGTCTCTCTGCTCTTCTGCCTGCCTCGCTCTCTGTCGCCTCTCTCCCTCTCTTTGTCTCCACGGCTCTGTGTGCCCCAGCCCTCAAGGTCCTCCCTCTGTTTCCTTGTCTTCTCATCCACGAGGCCACGGCAGATGAAATGGAACGTGTCTTCCTGCAGAGAGCTGGCCAGAGAATAGCTGTCAGTGCTGGAAGGGGCTGTTGAGCCATGGCCAGGAGACCTGGGGAGCCTGGGCAAGCCTTGCAGGCTGAGCCCCAACATCGTGGGGCCCCTTTGGAGCCTTTCCATGACTTTCCCTGCAGGTTCCAGGATAGGTGTGGCAGCTAGTTCAGGATTTCTGACCTTGGAGGCAAGCATAGTCCCTGTCTACCAACCCCTGGGGACAGCATGCACTGAGCCCTGACTCAGAGGCTGGTCCGAGGGCCAGATTCCTGGGATTGGCGGAATCTGGAGGAGCACCACCAAGGGGCAGGGCTGAGTTCCAAGAAGAGGAGATCCATGAGCTCAGGTCTCCTGGGGATAGGATGAGATCATGGAAAGGATATGGAGTAACAGGTTTTTTCACTCATTCATTCAACAAACATTCACAAAGCCACTGCTACATGCCAGACCTGGGGAATTTTTTTTTAGTCTCTGGGGATAAAGATGAATCAGGCATGACCCTTGCCCTCAGAAAGCTCTTAGATCTCCCTCAGGTGGCTGGTGGGGGTCGTACTTTCTGACAAAGTCAGCTCTGGGGTGTGAACTAGAGAGAAGGAGGAGAGCAGTTTCTGCAGTGCTTCGGGCAAAAGGTGATGGTGAGCTGGGCCAGAATCGAGCACCTTTAGGAGGTCACGGCAGGGGGCCTCTGAGAACTGATTGTATGAAGACGAGGAGGGAGGAGAATCAAGACAGGACCTATTTAGGTTGGATAGCAGAGCCTGGTTAAGACACAGACAGTCTTGCAGAGAATGAGTTGGATTCCATAGGTTCTGAGGATATTTAGGTGGAAATGTCCAGTAGGCTTCTGGACAAATGCTCTGCGCAAGGTCGCAGTTCAGCATTGTGTGCGCACCACAACCATCAGGGTGGATGATGTGAGTGTGGGTGCGAAGAGGGCCGAGGGGAAGGTTCCCAGGGCTCCCACACTGACTAGACAGGAGAAAGAGGCCAGATGGGGCACGGGGAGAAGCAGAGAGAACCGGCTTGAATGGAGTCATGAGCACTGGGGCAAGTGTTGCCAACCCAGCTGCGGGGTGCAGGAACAGCAGTGTACCGTGCTGGGGCACAGGCCACATGGAATGGCACCTCCTGGAGTTGCGCAGGGAGTAGCCACCTGAGTGGAGGTGACCACCCCTGCCCTGGCAGAGGGAAAGGAAGGTGAGTGTGGGTTAGAGAAGGAGAGAATGGGAATTGGGAGGGTTATTCCTGATTGGTTTCATTTTCTCAAAGCACCGAATGTCTTCCGTTTGGGGTCTTGCAGAGAGCAATAAAGGTCTGGAATGGTTGAGGTTGAGGGATGGATGGGAGCACCAACCAGACACGGGAACCATGGCCGCGCAGTGCTCGGGATCCAGCGGGTGTCCTGTGAGTCCCGCGCTGTCAGGCCCGCGCTGTCAGGGCCATGCTGGGGCCTTGGCCCTCTGAGCGTCTCCTCTACTCGGCCCCAGAAATGCCCCTTTTGGAGCAGCCACACAGCAGTCACTAAATATTTGCTGCTGCTCCTGTACTGCCTTCCCTGGCGGCTCTTGAAATCCTCTGGGCAGACGCAAGGACCACTGTTGGGCAGGGAGGCCTTGTCTTTGAACAGGTCTCCATGAGGGCAGAGGAGGAATTGCCTTTGCTGCCAGGAGCAGAGTCCGAGAGCTGCCGGCAAGAGAGTTCCTGCAGCCTGTGTGCTGAAGCTGCCTCTCCCGTCCCTTTGCGGCCTTTTTATGCTGTGGGGAAAAGCAAGAGGGGATGACTGTGGCCCCGCCAGGGACTGTGTCTCCAGCCAGCACTCAGTACTGCACTCTGGGATTTTCCAAGGGATACCCACTCCTTCTGCCTCATTAGGGCTTTATAGCTGCCCCACGGAGTCAGCCAAAGAACTGTAGACCCATTTGACCCACAAGAAAACTGAGGCTGGTGGCAGGGAAGCCATTTGCTTAGGATCACAGGCTGAGGCACAGACGCAGAGCCTCGGCAGGAGCCTGGATCTTTTGTCCTCAACAGCACTAGGTCAGGGCCAGAGCTCCGGAAGGGCTGCTCATGCTGTGCTGGCCATGCCTCTTCCGCAGTTAGCTTCCCGAGTGAGCCTCATTCACCTCCTAGCCTTTGCACATGCAGTTCCCCTGCGTGGAGCTACCTCCCCCACGGTGCCACCCATGCCTACCCTCACCTCCATAACTCTCATCCCACCCTGCAGCTAGCAGTGCCCCTGCAGGAAGTCTGCTTGACCCCCGGCTGGCTTAGAGGACCCCTGTGTGCCCCCACAGCCTCCTGTGAGGACAGTTCCCTCTCCATCGTACTTAGTGTGCAGATCACAGGAGTCCCATCCTCAAGTCTGTGAGTGCCTGGAAAAGGACCCTGCCTCTTCATCACTATCCAGCACAAGATATGTACCCAGGCAGTGTTCATTAAGTGAATGAAATGAATAGGTGGGGAAAGGAAATAGAGAGGGCGGTATCTCTTCATAAGGGTCCCTGGAATGAAACAAAAACCTTCCCCATAGGCTCTGAGAGCAAGAAGAGCCCATAGATATTATGTATAGCAAGAAACTGAGGGCATTAGAAGGTAATGGGCCCACCCAACGTCTCTAGGCAAGTGTGGTGGATGCTGGACTAGAGCCCTCTGACATTCTGAGCCCAGCGATCTTTCCCAGTGATTCTCCAGTGGGACTTCAGGAAGGCAGGGTCAGCCAGCCACAGGGCACGCCGTCAGGCATGGTCAGGCAGGCCCACGGCACCTCCAGATGCTCCAGCGGGGCATGGCCAGCAACAGGGAGATCACAGGGCTGGGGGAATTCCTGGGAAGTTGCGAAGCCCAGAGGTGTGCGAGGCTGGCGGGGCAAGATAGCGGCATGGCTCACCCCCTGCTCTGGCCATGGTGCAGTCCTACGCTGGCTCCCCCTGCCGGAGCATCTCTGCTCCCCAGCAGCCTGCCCACTTTCCATTCTCCTGGACCTCCCTGGGGCTGTCAGCATGCTGACCTTCCGGCCTCCACCTGTCACCACCATTCACAGGCAATTAGAGGAACAGTGCAGGGATCCCCCCTAGGGTGCAGGATGAACAGTGAGCAGGAGGGGAGAGTGCTGCCCGAATGAGTGGGGCCACAGGGCAGTCCCTCAGCAGGAGGGGCCCAGGGGCCCTGAACAAGCACCCAGTGTCCACATGGAGCAGGTTGGAGAGACTGAGGCTCCTGAGGCAGAGGGGCGTCCCAGACTGCTGACTTTCAGCAGCTCCTGTGTCCAGTCACTGGGTCTCCTGAGGATTCTTCCCAACCGGAGCCCAGGAGAGGCCTCCCCTGAGTACTCAGACCTCAACCTGCATTCCAGCACAGGAAGGCAATTGCCACTCCCATCTGGGGCTTTCGACTAATTCACCTGTTTCTGTATTCCCCTTGCCTAGCACAGAGCTGGCCACAGAGCAAGGGTATCATGAATCTTTGCTGAATGAAGGAATAGTGAGTAGGGGACTGAGAAGGAGGCCAGCGTCTCTCCCCACACACACCTCTGAAGGGTTCAGTTCTGTGTTTGTGCCTCCTTGAGGCCACTGTCAGTGTCTGCCAGGCCCTGCAATCACTAGGGGTTTTCTGGTTGCCCCCGCTGGGATCTTACACCTCAGTGAGTCCCAGGACCTGGCCCACAGTATGTTCTCCACAAAGATTGGGCCGATGAATCTGTGCATCCAGCCAGCAGGTGCTGGGCCTGTGCCGGGCAGTGCAGATGTCATCTCTGCTCTCTGGGAGCTGAGTGAGGAGGCCCACATGAACATATAGAACCCCACTCCCATGCTAAGGGAGGCCTGAGTTGCTGGTAGAACTTATCAAGATGAGCCATAGACCTGCTAGGGGCTTGAGGGTTGCCTGGAGCTGGGCTTTGAGTGACTGCTGAAGGCTGTCCCAGCCTGGGCAGTCAGGGACTTCGGTCAGCTTTACGGTAAGAGGCACAGAGATACAGCAAATAGCATGGAGACCCCTTACTACATGTGGGTGGCTGTTTCTTTAATCCTCACAGCAACCCTGGAGGTTGCTATTATAGCCATTCTCACTTCGCAGATGAGGAAACAGGCAGAGGGAGATATAGTTAATGCATGGCAGAGCCAGGATTTGAACCCAGGCAGGGTGGCACCAGGACCTTGTCTTACCTTCTATGCCATACTGCCTCTCAGAGCCTGGAGCATTGACTTTGGTATAGGTCACTGGCCCAGACACATTAGGGGATGGCCAGGGCAGTCCCCTGTGGCTGGTGGCTGACCCTCTTTTGTCGCTTGTGTTCCAGGTCACTTTCTGGGGAACAACACCGTCATTGACATCCTGCGACAGGCAGGGCTGGAGGTGGACCACACACCCGCTGGGCAGGCCATCCACAGGTGAGCCACTGGGGCGTCTGGGGGTGCCTTGGGCCTGACCAGCCCTGCCTTCCTGCCCAGGCCTTCGGCGAATGCCGTGAAGAAACTTCTGGGGAGGTAGGGGCGGGTCTTTACCAGGCAGCAAGAATGGAAAGAATGGGTTGGTGGCAGGAGATTGGGAGGAAGCTGGTGAGCCATCTTGGCTGGAGGTGACAGCAGGGCCAGAGCGTGGGTGGGAGTGGGAGCCGCATTAGAACTGGAGAGGTGCTTCGGATTTAGAGCTGGTGGTTGGGTCAGGGGTAGAGGGACTCAGTAGAACTCCTGGGTGCTGCCTGGAAGATTCTGTGGTTTCCCTGGCCCTGAATCGGGATGGTACTAGGACTGGGCAGGGCCCTGGCCTCCTTCCTGGGTCACAGCCCCACACTGTGGCAGCCCTGCTGCCCGACCCACACCTGACCCTCACCTTTTCTGTTGCTGTCTCCGGCTATGCCCCTCACCCCTGACTTCCCTGCCAGGGCACACCCACTCTGCTCAATAGCCACTAGTGGCCATCCGCTGTTCCTGTCAGGTCTTCCACGCCTTCCTCCACAGTCTGGGAGCTACCTGAGGGCAGCGACCAACTCAGTCCATGTGTGGGTCCACAGCTCCAGGCCAGGCACGGAAGGTGTCATCGGGAGCCAGGCTCTGGGTCCTGGGCAGCCCCGGAGGTCGGTGACAGGATCCTCAGACTCCAGGGTTCCATGCAGCCCGTGCTCCAACATAAAGACCCAGAGTTTGAAAGAAGCCTGGATCCTTATAGCCAATTTTTATTAGCTGCTCACTCTGTACCAGGCTCTAGGCCTTTTTAACTCATTTAATCTGCGTAACAACACCATGAGGTCAGAGCTGTGAGTTTTCCCACCTAATCATTGAGGAACATGAGGCCCAGAGAGGTGAAGTCACTTGCAGAAGGACACACAGCATCTGATGTAAGTGGCAGTCTGGCTCTAGGGCCTCCCTGAACTCCCAGCCACTCCCTGTACCAGCTCTGAGGGTGGACTGAGCTCTGGGTAAAACCTCACATGGGGATTTCATCCCAGTCGTACTGACAAGGCTGTTCTTCCTGCCTGAACCATTTGAACCCAGCATACATTAGTTTGTATTGGGGGCCAAGGGTAAGCATGTGTTTGAGGGGTGGGGATTCCAAGGTAGCCTCGGGGACAAAGCCTTCTTCAAGCTCCCCTCCTCTCCCCTCTCCCCATCCCTCACCCCAACAGCCCCGAAGAGCTTCCCCTTGAAGCTCATTGTGTCTGTTCTGGCCAGGGCAGGGGAGGCAGGCAGGCCGGTGAGGCTAGCGAGCCTCCTATTCATCTCAGAGCCCAGGCATTAGGGGGAGGGGGCCTGCCACAGCTCCCCCATGGGCTCCGCTCCAAGGATTCTCAGCCTTAACCCCCTGTCTGGGGGAGCAAGGGAGCTGGCAGGGCGGAGGGGGGCGGGGACGCTGAGGAGGCTCCAACAATAAAAGCCATCATCGGCCACAGGTGCTTCCTGGATCTAGCTTTTTGTCTGACTGTTTTGAATTATCTCCCCAGCAGCTGCGGCATCTCCAGGCAGCCTGGACCCTGAGAATCTGGGGTTGCCATGGGGGTGGGGGAGGAGCGGCTGAGCCGAGTGTCTTCTTTCCTTCAAAGAGAGAAGCTCCTCGCCCGTCACACTGCGTGAGAGTGGGCTGGGAAGAAGGACTGCTTGCTGTCTTGGGTACTGCCTAACCTTGCAAGCTGCCCACTCAGCCACAATTCCTGAAACCATTCCCCACCTTCTCCCGGGGTCACATGTCTCTAAAACAAGATCTGTTGTGGCCGCGGGGAGGAAAGGATAAAAGGGAGAAAAGCAGAGGGTGCCCTTGGGCTAAGCGGTCCGCGTGCATGCCCCTGTAAAAACATGAATTCCACAATGTGACCAATGACACCTTCGCGCCTGCCTGACAGCCAGGTCTATTTGCTTGTGGGCTTCTGTGCCAGGCACTGTGTTAAGACCTCGTCCCATTCATCCTCAGGACAACCCCATGAAGTAGGTAGTGTTATTACTCCTGTGTTCTAGCTCGTCGCTGCTTGAGACGATGGAGTAACTTGCCCTTGTCACACGGCCTGCACCTTGTGAGGCTGCGCTGTGGACCCACGCCAGGCCACCCCCAGCTCAAACTCCGATACTTAACCCTGTCCTCGCTCCACTGAAAAGGTGCACAGGAAATGTGTACTGAACGTGTGAAGGGAAGGTTGGATGCGTAAACCACACAAACAATGCTAGTAATACTCATTACCTGAATGTTTTGGCTGCTTATCGTTTGCCAGACAGTGTTTTCGGTCTTTGCCTGTGTTCACCTTCATAATCCTGATGAAGTACCCTGTGAGGTACCGGCTGCAACACCCCCATTTCACAGAGTAGGAGACTGAGGCACAGTGAGGTTAGTGAACTCACCTAAAGTCTCAGCCAGAGTTGTTGAATAAATGAGACCCTGACAAAGCTCAGATGTGTCCCAGAGACCTGCCCAGGGCTCGCTCCCTCACCTCTTCCTAGTCTGGGCTCAAATGTTACCTGCTGGTGACCAGACCACCTTCCCTGAGCAGCACCCTTCACCCCTACCCTCACACCTGTCTCTTTCATTTGCTCCTCGGTGGCTGGCAGCGGCTGGCAGTCCCGTTTGACTCTGTGTCTCTGCTTTGGAGTGTAAGCTCCCAGAGGACAGAGCCATTGTCGGTTTCCATCCTGCTGATACCCACCTCCTAACAAAGCGCCTGGGACAGGATTGGTGCTCAGTAAATATCTGTCAACCAAACAAATGAAAGCATGACTCAGAGCACTGGCTCTCAGTACCAGACAAGGTTTTCCCGGGTTGCTGTCCCCAGGCCCTGCAGGGGCACCCTGGCACTTTCTCCTGCCATGACAACACTCCCACTGAATCGTGGTGCATTCCCTGCCACACATGGATGACATTCTCCAACACGTGTGCCCATGTGCCGTTACCTCTTTCCAGCCCTGCTCCCCAGAGCCCAGCTCCCTCTCCTGAGGGGACCTCGACAAGCCCGGCCCCAGTGACCCCAGCTGCCGCCGTCCCCGCAGCATCCCTCCGTGACTCCCACCGTCCCGCCAGAGGATGAGGATCCAGCCCTGTCCCCACACCTCCTGCTCCCCGACAGCCTCAGCCAGCTGGAGGAGTTTGGCCGGCAGAGGAAGTGGCACAAGAGGCAGAGCACGCACCAGCGGCCGCGGCAGTTCAATGACCTCTGGGTCCGCATCGAGGACAGGTGAGCCAGGGGGGGCAGGTCTGCCCAGGAGCTGGGCGTCTGCACGCCCTGGTAGTGTACCTTGAACCCCCCACAGCTGGGCACACTGTCATCAGGCCAGCCATCATCAGGCCAGCCCTGCTCTAAGGAACTGTGGCAGGTAGCTTTATACAGCACGTTCACATGTAATTTTTTAGTTTTATTCTCAAAACAAAACCAATTCAACAAGTACAATTCTTTGCATCTTAAAGGTGAGGAAATAGAAGCTTTCTTCAGGTGCAGTGCACAAATATGCTTTGCACTTAGCTTTCCGGGGACACACCTGTCCAGACAGGGCTCCGTTTGTCCCATGGACTGGAGGGGACACTGGGAGAAAATGGAGTAGGCTGCCTAAGCCAAAAGGCATGAGTTCCCCATTCCTAGAAGGTGTGAGTAGCTGAAACCATGGCAGGGAGGTTGCAAAGGGGACCGTGCTCTGACAGAGAGATGGGGCAGGTGGTGATCAGTCGCCTTGAAGCTGTGGGCTCTGTCTCTGGAGCGCATGGGGGATTTGTGATATACCTTGTTAAAAATGGGCAGATACAAGAAACCATCCTCATGCACGAAGACCCTTCTGTCCTCTTCCTAGATGTCCCTCCTACCACCTGTATCACCCGCCTCAGCTTGTCTGTCTCCAAAGTCCTGCTGTGAACAGGGTGTTGTCTTCCAAGCCCTGCCTGCAGTCTCAGTACAGAGTAGCTTCCCTAGATCCCATGTTTTGGCAAGAATCTCCATATTTAGTGAACAGTAGCGCCAGAGCACAGGGAGTGTCCCAGGGAGGGACTGTCAGTGATGCGGTAGAGTCCTACCCACTGCAGTGGCCCAGCCTAAATAATGCCATGCCCAGCAGTCATAGAGTCTCCATCTCAGAATCTCTATCTGAGGGGAGCCTCCGAGTCTCCATCTGGACCCATACGAACACCGTCTAGGATTTTCATCTGCAATCCTAGGGAGAATCACCTTGGCTGCTTGTTAAATAGATTCCCAGAACCCCCTGCAGCACTCATGTATCAGAACGGGCAGGACAAGGGCCTGGGAATCTGTATGTTGAGATCCGCAGACTCTTCTGAGCAGCTTTGGGAAACCTGACTAAACCCTGCATTATAGATGGTGAACCAAGGCCCAAGTTGGGGAGGGTTAGACCAGGGTCACTTAAGGAACCAGCGGCTGCCTCTTGCACTTTGCACTTCACGAATCTCCTACAGCCAGGTCTCAGAGCCATTGACACAATATTGATATGCCCCAGCCCGTTATCATAAATTGTGGGGTACACACTGTCTTTGAAAGACTTCCAGCAAGTAAGAGTCAAGCCCATGGATCCTTTGGGCATCGGTTTCAGCGCACCTTGGGTTTCTGAGAAACGGACTTCTGCACAGCCTGGCTCTGTGTGTTAGTCTGTTCTCACGCTGCTAACAAAGACATACCCAAGACTGGGTAATTTATAAAGAAAAGAGCTTTAATTGACTCACAGTTCCACAAGGCTGGGGAGGCCTCACAATCATGGTAGAAGGCAAGGAGGAGCAAAGCCGCATCTTACCTGGCAGCCACCGAAGAGAGAGAATGAGAACCAAGCGAAAGGGGTTTCCCCTTGTAAAACCATCAGATCTCGAGAGACTTAGTCACTACCACAACAGTGTGCGGTAACCACCACATGATTCAATTATCTCCCACCTGGTCCTTCCCACAACATGTGGGAATTATGGGAATTACAACTCAAGATGAGACTTGGGTGGCCACACAGCCAAACCATATCATCCTGCCTGCCTAAGGCAGAGGTATTACTGTGGCTAAATTGGCTACGACACATTTGGGTCACGTGCCCAGTATGAGCAGCCCCCTTCTAATCAGGAAGTGAGGGCGCAGAGTTACTGAGAGCCACTTTCATCAGTGGCGGGGGAGGGCTTGCAGGCTGCCAAGGAGGCTTGAGGCAAGCGAAGGAGCTGGCAGCCCATTAAGAGTTCCACTTAGGCTGGTCACTCAGAGCCCTGATCAACACACCAGGGTGATCAGGAGACCTGACCAGTGGTGGGACCAGCCCATGAGGTGACAGGAAGCTGGGCTGTCAGCTCCAGCAATGGACCTCCAGCCCCTAACCAAGTCTGAAAGGCAAATTTCAGCAAATGACTCCAAACGGCTTCCTTCTCACAATACCCAGCTCTGAAACACAGAGCCTGATTTCAGGAGAAGAAAATAGCTTTTTTTTTGGCAAGAAGGGAGTCCCTTCTCTAACCCCACAGGTGAATTGTGGTTGGCTAACTTGCTTCTATCTGGTTGGGGTGGAGAAGAAAGTTTCCACCACCGCCCGGCAGCCTGTTTGTTGAAACTCCTCGCTGCTTCTAGAGGAGCAGGCCCTGAGCTCCCTGAGAGGCCCAGGTGCAGGGCACAGCCTCCGTTGCTCCCAGGGGACTCGCCCCACCCTCCTGCAGTCCCCAGGTTTCTAAGTTTCTGAGAGGAGCAGATGAGAGCTCTCTGGGAGTGACGGGGGCCTGTTGGTAGTCCTTCTAATAAAACCATTTTGGGGGAGCTTTTATTCCCATTTCTCATTTTCCTCCTCCTATAACCCCATTGGAGCCATCGCCTCCTCCCCATCACCTCTCCCAGCCCGTCTGGCACCTGTCATCCTGGCCCAAGTCATGCCTATCCATCATGGCTGCTCCTCAGCCTGGGGTCCTACAGTGCCCCTGCCATGCTGCTGCTCAGCCCAGATGTAGGGTCTTCACCTTCTTTCTGCCTCAGCCACCACCTGCTTCCTCGGGGTCTGCCCACTCTGTCCTCACCAAGGTGTTTGCCTCCACACCTTGTCCTGCTCCTCTCTCTGCTTGCAGTGGGGTGCCCGTGGATATTGCCAAGCTCCCCTGCTATGGCAGATACCTGCCTCCCTTCTGTCCCGTTTTCTGTCAAGAATTGTGGAAGGTAGGCCTATTTCACACCGGAGGAAACAACTTGCCTAAAGGCCAGGCAGAGAGTCGAGCAGACCTGCCTGATGCTAAGGGTCGCTTTCATCACCCAGCACCATGTGGTTGCCCTTTCCCCTTCTCCGGCGCAGCTGAGCCCTCCCCTCCTCCCCGCAGAACCACTAAGTGCCCCATCCTGAAAAACCAGCACAGACTGCGAGTCCTCACTCACGCTCTTGGTGGCTGGTGGGCCCTGAGGATCAGATCTGGGTTGCGCTGGGAGCAAATGTGAGAAGGAGGGAGTGAGCCAGGGATGCGCCTGCGAGTGCCTGTCCCGGATACCACCTGGAACAGGCTGGCGTCCCCCTTGCCCCTCATTACCCGAGATGTAAACACACGCACACTGGAGGAAGTTTAGAGAAGCAGTGGCCCATGGCAGGATGGTTTATGGGGACCCGCAGAAAGGGCGGACTGAAGCGTGTGTCTGCAGATGGCTGTGCAGTGGCAGAACGTTCTTGGGGAACCCCTGCCTCTGAGAGCCAGGCTTGGGGAAAGGGCAGGGCTGTAACCAGGGTGCTCTAAAACAGGGCAGAGGTCATTGCTGTGCAGTGTGGGACCCGTAGCACTCCTTCAGTTTCTCCTTTTGTGCAGTTAGGCCCTTGAGGGGTCTTCGGAGGTCATGCCAGCTCTTATTCTCCAGTTCCACAGCTGACACGGGATATGAGGGTGAGCTGCATAAATAGGGATCAGAGTGTCTGAGCCATCTAGATCAGAAGTCCTCAGGCAGGGCATACTGGCCAGACGTAGGGAAGAGAGTGTCTTCCCAGTGCCAGGCATGGCCCAAAGCAGGGCACAGAAGTGGGTGACGAGACCGATGCAGAGCCTTGGTGGGTTCCACCATGCAGGGGGAGGGGGTGCAGGACACACATGCCCAGGATCGTTGCCCTTGGAGTCTTGGCTTCCCCTGAGGTTTGAGCAGGTGGCTCGAGCCCTCAAAGAGGGGAAGACACACAGTGTCTCCCTCCCGTCCCCAGATTCTCCAGCTCCAGTTCCCCATAACACAGATAGGCAGAGTCCCCAGGTGAAGCCAGGACCCCATCAGATTAGAGATAGGAGATGCCCCAATGAGAATTGGGAAGCAGGATCATCCAATGAATAAAAACAGATAAATTCAGTCAGAATGGGGTTCAAATCCACTTCCCCCTTTTACTTGCTTTGAGGCTTCGAGATTACGTGAGATGATGCTCGTAAGCTTTAAACTGGCATCGGACCACCAGTAGCACTCAGTAACAGTCGAGGCTCATGTTGACACCTGTGGCTTTCAGAGTCTCTGGTCTGAGATGACCCAGCCCCCGACCCTAGCAGGAAGGGCTTCAGCCTGAATCCTTAAATGAGCCATTGGATGGGTGTTGTGAACATCCCCTGGTTTAACAGGAACATGTGTGGCACATACTGCATTTAGAGCTAGTGAGGGACAAGAACAGGAGGAGTCTCGGGTCATGGCTAGGGAGAGAGATGGCTCCCAGTGCAGTGCCACAGTCCAGAGACTCTGCCTCGGCTCTCCTGAGTGGTCTTGGTGAGTCCCACTTCTTCTCTGGACCGTTTCCCATCTCAGGGACAGACAGGCCCTTCCAGCTATGGTCTGCTATGAAGCTACTAGAAAACATGCCTGTCTGCCCCGTGCTCAAGATGGGATCAGTCAGTAATGGCGCAGTGAGGTTGCGTGAAGCGCGAAGGCATTCCCGGCACAGAGGACCATGTGGACACAAGGGTGGAGGCAGGAGGAGCCCTGGCTATCGCAAAGCCCTGGATATCCAGAGATGCAGGCAAACCAGTTGCCTTGGATCTCCTATCCGACCTGCTTGGCCCAGAGAGGCTGGGCCTCAGACTGACATAGAGCAGGGTCTCCTCTAAGTGATCACATTGAGGTCTCTATCCCCAGGCAGAGGGCCACCTACCACCCAGGCCCTCTGTATCTCCTTGAAGCTCTCTAAGGAGGTCATTCAGGGCACAGCCCCTTGTACTGTCAAGAAGGCTGAGGATACCCAGAACCTAGCCTGGGATGGCTCTCAGAGACCCTCTAGTTCCAAGACACGCCCCTGCTCCAGGGAGCCCCTTGGAGGAGCTCACGGGCAGACAGCTGACTGTCTCAGACACACACAGCCTTGCTTTCTGCCTTGGGCTTGTGAACTTTGCCTTGGGCTTCTACCGAAGATCTGACTCTGGCTTCTGCTGCTGGGAAACATTTTAAAGTTCACGGGTCTGTTCCTGTTCATCGTGTTGATGGGGAAACCAAGGTCTAGAGGACAGTACTTGTCCAAAGTCACCCGCAAGCCAGGAACATTCTACAGGCTAGAGCCGGGCTTCTGCCTTCTGCTCGGGCAGAGCGACTCTCCCCACTTTGGGGTCCCTGTGGACTGAGAACAGACCCGGCCTCTTGGTGCCAGCCATCTGCAGAGCCTGGGAACACTTGCAGTGTTTGGTTTGGCTTTGAGGCCACTTTGCCATGAGACAGTTTCCCCCAGTGTGAGCAAAGGAGGGGTGGGGATCTGGACTGGGGAGCTGAGCTTTGTGAGCAGAGTCGGGCCCAGGAGGTGGGCTGGGAGCATTTGGAGGGGCTTGTCCTCCACCCTACATCAGTCCTACCCCATTTCTCTGGGACTCCTTCCAAGCAATAAAAAGCCTGTTCAGGCTCCAAGAGGGAGTTTTCATCTTTGGTTTTCAAAGTGTGAAAGAAAATGCCTTTGGGCACCTTGTGAGACAGAGTATTCATAACTCCTACTTGGTCTTGCCTTCTGACGGTGGGGGCCCAGCTCCAGGCACCTCCAGGGGCCCACCAGCCTGCTCCCCTGAAGCCAGCCTCCAAGCCAACAGCCACTCAGGCTGAAATGATGGGGCAGCAGCCAGGAGGACATTTTTATGCGTTTTGTGTGAGGGTTTCTTTTTTTATTTCTGTTTTTTGTCTTCATTAGAAAAGAAAAGGAGGAAAGGGGCTGAGGTGATGATGCCTGCTCGGCACGGGCACTGATCCCCTCCAGGGGCTCAGGCCACATGAGGCCTCAGTCTCCCCACCTGGCAAGCCTCCGCCTGCAGGTTTGAGAGATCTCAGCCAGAAGCAGCCACGCTTCACTCATGGGCTCTCTGTCAGGGGCGTGCTCATCCGTTCAGTCAGGGACGAATCAGGCTGGGGAGACACTGCCCCGTGCACATCCTGTCTCTTGCAAGAAATCTGAAGTCCTTCAAGCTCAGTTTCCACACCTTAGAACGGGGAATAATCGTAATATAACACACGTATAGCACCAAGCAGTGTCTACCAGTATACTGTAAGTGCTCCGTAAGTGGAAGGTGCAGACACAAAAATATTAATGATGCTGAATGTAGGCAGCCTCATTATGCAAGTTGCAGCAGGTGCTGAAGGCCAGAGCATTACTCAAAGAGAGGGAGAGAGGGACGGGGCCCTCTCTTTAATGATGTACAGCAAGCCAGGACGGGTTCCCAGAGGCCATGTGGATGCCTACTCCAGAGCCGAGAGCCCATATGGAGTCAGGGGTGTGCTTGGTGGCCCCAGGTTCCCTCCCCTTTATCCAGCCTGGCTGAGGCTGAGCCAAGGCTGTGTGAGAGGTGTCTGGCCAGGACGGTGGCCTGGATTGAGCTCTGGTGGTGATGACTGCAGGCTCTCACCACTGTGATTATGGCCAGCTGTTAGGACCTCACCACCCAGCCCCAGGAAATGCAACCGGGGTGACCCAGGGCAGCCTGTTGGGGAGGGGCACGCAGTGGGAAGCGTGGCAGGGAGGCACTCACGCTGCAGACCCCAGGTTTCTACAGCCCTGCCCCGTTTCTACAGCCTACCCTTTAGGCTGGCCAGCCCAAAGGCAGTGACAAGCTTCCTGCCCACCCGTCTGCTAGTGAGCACCTACTGTGTGCCCAGTTCAGATCCTGGCCCTTTTTTTGTGTCCTGGAGGAAAGTCACTTAACCCCTTCATGCCTCGGTTTCTTCCTAAGTACAATGTGGACAACAGTCATCCCTGCCTCCTAGTGTCGTCAAGAGGTCTAAAGGTTAAGGAGTGGCCAGAGTGCTTCACACAGAGCCGGCGCAGGGGCGGGGCTCCGGACATACTTTTCTCACCGGCCAGGAGTGCCCTCCCCCACGCTCCAACTAAATTCACCCTGCCTTCCTGGCTGTGGCCTCCCCTCTTCCGGGAGGCCCTCCTGGCCTTCCCTTCATGTACCCGCTGCCCTAGTGCGCCCCTCTGTGTGACAGAGCTTGAGGGCTCCTCTGTCTGCATCTGCATCTCCATCTGCCTCCTGCCTGCGCAGGGTTCCTGACTCTCGGTGTGACCCTTGCTTCCAGGCCCAGCCTGTTTCTCTATCCCAGGCCTGTCCCTCATCCACAGGTGTCCTGTCAGACACCTGAGCTGTGGCCTATCTGCTAGGCCTCTGTAGCTGTCCACTCCCCCCTCAGTGCCTGTGGTAGCCTCTCTCTGCCCATCCGTTTCCTATATGTCTCTTTCCGGGACCTGAGTGCCCCCATTCCCACCGTCTCCCTCCAGCTTCCCAAGGCCACCACGTGCTGGGCTCAGGTCAGCCTGCCAGGAGGTTCTGCACTGATTTTCCTTCTGTCTCTCTCTGTCTGTCACATAGCCTTTCTTGAGCCAAGAATGTCACCTGTTGTCTCCAAAACTGGATTCTGTTTTTGTACATTCATGAAGGACTGCACCTTTCGCTAAACACATCCTGCAGCTGTGCGAAGTAAGGCAGACCTGGGCTCTGCCTCCTGGCATACCGCTCCCGCTTTCCTCTGGGACCTGGCCACCAGGTAGCCTCCGGGCCACCACGTAGCCTCTCTGAGCCTCAGTTTTCTCATTCGTAGAAAGGAAGCAACAAGACCCATTTTGAAGGCTCATTGTGAGGACCAGAAATATTGTTTGTAAAGTGCTGAGCTCGTGATGGATGCTCAACAAGCAGTAGTTACGATGATGAGGGCGGGGATCGTGGTGCGGCTGCTTGTCTTGTTTTCTGCGTGTCTTGGTGGTCTGCAAGGGGAGAGCAGCCAACGGGCAGGGCACCTGTGTACCTCGATGCCTGACAACCCCATGGGACCCCAGATGTATCTTCCCAAAACACTATTCTTTCTGCCTGGGATCCACTTTCTCCATTGGTGACATCATGTGAGGCCTGTGGCTGCCAGGGCCTGGTCCATCCCCCAGACCCTGGCACAGGAGGTCAGTGTGGACTCTGGACCTCAGCCAGGCTGGTTGTGTCGCTTTGGGCTGCCTGATTTGCTTGCTTGAGATCCTTGTTCCCTTCTCCATTGTATGAGGCAAAATAGACCTGAAAAAGTCAGATCTGAGCCCCAAGGCTTCCGCCCAGGACGAGGCTGCCGACGGTCACTCTTCCATGTGCTTCCTCCTTTCCAGCACCACCGCCTCACTGCCCCCACTGCCCCTGCAGCCCACCCACAGCTCCGGGACCGCGAGGCCTCCCTTCCAGCTCTCAGACCAGCTACAACAGCAGGACCCACCAGGGCCCGCCAGCAGCTCGGCACCCACCCTGGGCCTCCTCTCCGCCATCACCACCACTGTTGCTGCCCACTTCCTGCTGCTCAGCCTTGGACCCTCCTGACCTCAGCCACCCAAGTGGAGAAGCCAGAGAAATGACACAGGGGTCTGTGGCCACACCCCACCGCTCCTGCCACCACCTCCGGTGTGCCCAACACCTCGAGGGCAGTCCAGATGGGATCGGCTAGATACTAGAGCTTTACTGTACCCAAGTTACATCTTCTTTTTTGAGGAAGGATCTTAATTTCCCATAGTGCTATGGGGCTCTTTTGTAAAATACGTGTCCATATTAAAAAAGAAAAATGTATTTATTCTACTGATAAAACTATTTTCATGTGGCCTATGTTATAACCCCCTAGCCCTAGTGCCGGTCCAGGAGGGGATCCCAGGACATCTGTGATCTCCTGTGGACTGTGGCTCTGAACTGGCTTGCCCCTGGATCACCGAAGCCTCCTCGGTCTGGGTTTGGCTTCTCCCACTGTGGGGCCCCCAGCGGGAGGGGCAGGCAGACAGGCTTAGCTTTTGTGAAGCTGGATTTGGGAGCCAGAGGTGTGAACCTTGACCATCCTCCTTCCCCTGAGTGCACCCGCAGCCCGGGAAGTTCATTTAGGAAAGAGAATGCTGCTATTTTGAACCCCCTGAGTGTCTGTGAACTGGCCCTGCAGAGCTCTCGGTAAGTGTTTTCGGCCAAAGCGCTGGGGTGGAGTGGGGTGCGGGATGCTGGTGCTGAGGAAAGCAGTCCCCACCCCACGGAACAGACGAATACACTGAGATCCAAAGAGAGCCAGGTGGGTAGCCCAAGGTCACACAGCAAGTGAGAGAGCGAGGACATGAATCCAGACGTCTCTGTTCTGGTGTCATGAATCCAGCGTGGGTTAAAGGAGAGACTGTTGAAGTCCTGGCTAAATGGAGTGAGCTGGACTGAGGGACTGGAGCGGGCACAGGAGGGCAGTTTTAGAGACAGGGGCTTAGGCATCATATCACGATCATAGAAGTGAGAGCTGCCAGTTTGTCCAAAGCCTACAGTGAGCCCAGCACTGAGCACCTTGCTTCCCTGACCCTCACACTAGGTCTGAGATGCTACTACCCCATTTCACAGATGAGGAAACTGAGTCCCCCAAAGAGGTGAAGGGACTGGCTGAAGATCCCCCAGCCAGCATGTGGCCCCAGATCAGTGTGATGCAACATGATTCCTGCCTCCTGCTCCATGTTCTACCACATTCTCTCTGCCAGGGAAGCTCCAACGGAGGCAGATCTCGCCCAAATTGAGGCCAGCACAAGCTTTCACTGTAGCAAAAGACCTTTTGGCCAGCTGCTTATGTTGGTCCCTCTGGCCAAAGGGCTCTGGCAACAGCGTGTGCCACGTATCGCATGTCCTGACTTGCCAGATCTCAGAGCCCATGAGAAGCTTTCCTGCCAAATCAAAGGCTGGGAGGGGGGCACAGCTGTAGGGCACCTGGGGAGGCACAGCAGCCAAGTGAGGAGGCAGGCGACAGGCTCTGAGAGACTTACCTAGCCCCTCTGCTCCTCAAGGTGGTGGTTGAGGAGACAGAGGACCCAGGTGGGCTGACTCTCAGACCTGAAACCCCGCGGGGCTGGTGCCTCAGTAATTACAGAGTCCTAGAACCTGAGAGCAGAAAGGACCCTTCACCTGATGGAAAATAGTAATAGCAGGAAGAATAATAAGGCCCACAGAGGGGAGACACTTCTCCAAGACTGCACAGCCAGGTGGGCCTGCTGACTCCCAGCCCGGTGTGCCCAGCTTTACTGCTTCCTAGGTTTCCCTGGCAGGCTTGATGGCAGCTGATTGGCCCCAGTAGTGCCATGCTGCCCAGCTTGGCAGCTGTCCGCCTTCTGAGATGGCACAATTCTGGGCAGCTCATGAGATGGTCAGGAGTCCCACGGGCATCTTGGCAGGCCATTGAATTCTTTATGGCTCAGCCCTGATGGACGTGTTTAAGCTTGAGACCTGGCAGAAGATTGGAGCTCAGCCTCAGAGTGCTCAGCCAGCCTCGCGGGCACCAGGCTCTAAACTGAACTTGACCTCAGTCCAGACTGGAGTTGGTTTATCCTTGGCAAAAATGTGACTTCCTATTTCTGAGCGGGAAGGGGCTTAGTGACTTATAAAGCAGACTCAGAAGTTGGACATCAAACGGATTGTGCAGAGCACTATTTGGATGAGATAAGTGTGAAGGAATTAGAAACACACAGGCCAGATTCCTCTCTGTTTGGGGCAGAGTATGGCATGAGATGTATTGAGATGGAGCTTGAGGTTAATTAAAGATGAAGCATGTGGGTAAACAGCCCAGGCACCTGACCATGTGCCCAGATCTGTGCCAGGCACAGGGCCAAGAAGGTAAATGAATGCAGCATGTCATTATTGAGGACACGCAATGCTAGGCTCTGTATTGGAGCTGAATCTCACCATCCTTTTTGGCCCAGAGGAACTCATTATCAAGATGGGACAGGTAGCCCAGTGCTAGGTTATGTTGTCCTGACCCTTGACTTCAGGAAGACTCAGCCCTAGTCTTTTCCCAGATCCCTCCTCTGGGCAGATTAGGGGATCCGAAACTCTCCCTTACCCTAATTCAAGCGTTTAAAGAAAGACACCTGGACTAACTGGTGGGGCCGATATGTACCTGCAGGAGAGCAAAAGCCAACGCAGTCAGACATGTGGTGCCAAAGTCCACTGATCCCTGAGGACCACCAGCTGGCCAAGGGTCTGAAAGGAACTCAACCTGCCGACTTATGACACAAAAGACTGGAGGCACATATGCAGGAGTCCGCATGGCTGGGGCGCTTGGCTTCTCTCATCCTGGGCCAGAGAACCACCATCCATAAGCAGCCACCCACACCTCTGGCACGATCTGTACACCACTGACTGACATTTCTTCCAGAAATGTTCTTTGTGCCTAGCCTCATAAAATGCTCCTGTGCCTCTGAGAACCTTGTGTGCACTTCTTAGACTTTTATGTTTGGCCGTGAGGCAGGCAGGAAAGATGAAAGCCTGAGACGCAGCAGGCGAATGGTCTTTGCTAAAGATGGGCCACCAATTATTGTGGCCTGGTCCATCTCTCACAAAAGCTGACCATGTCATCGAAGGGCCCTCTGGGGCATGTCAGAATGGCCGTGTCCCCAGGTCTTCCTCCAGTGTTGGGTCTGATGCACCAACAGCCAGATGAAGGCAGGGAGAGCCCCGTCATCCAGTGAAGGGAGAAGAATGAGGCTGCCAAGGAGCTGCAAAGGGCCGCTGAGGACCCCTTCGGCCTTGAGAGTCAAAGACCCAGGATCTAGGAAGCATGGAACCTTGTGCCGACTATGAGCAAATGTGTCCTTGCATTGAAAGACCCTAAGCACAATTCCTTCATGTTAAATACTGTGCCATCACAACTCCCTGGCATCAGCTAGACCTGGGCAAGCCTAGGTACCCAGGCCCCTTGTCCCACTTACCTAATCTCCAGCCCAATGCCATTGTCACAGTGGATCCCAAAGAGGAGGGAGGGTCCTTCTACCAAAAGGAAAGTCTATGAAAAATGCCGTGAAGGACAAGAGAAGTTCTCCCAGGGAATTGCAGCTGTGATGGCCTCCCGTGTGACAGACCACAGAACCGGGGCTGCTGGTGGTTTTTCAGTGACTATGAGATAAGAAGCAAAGTCCTCAGCCTGACATGCTAGACCCTTCATGAGCCAACCCTGCTGACCTTGCCAGCCACGTCTCTCATGTCTCTTACCCTGTGCCTGGCCAGCTCAGGGTGCAGTCAGCTCTAGAATCAACAGGCTGTTTCACACATCCTGCTCTCTACCCCTGAAAACTCCCTTTTCTCCCCTGTACCTGCTCATCTATTGAGGATCAACACAGATAGCACCGCCTCCAGGAAGCCCCCTCTGATTCCTCTGTGCTCTCTTAACATCTATCACAATACCCACTGCCCAGTGTTGTGACTGTCTAGTCACGTATCTGCTCCTCTCTTGGACTGTGAGCAACTTAATGTCAGGGGTCAGGTGAATTTGTCTTTGTATCCTCATCTGACACAAAAGTAGTGCTCAACATATGTGTAGAGAGAGACAGAGGAGGGAAAGGAAGCAGAAAGAAGGGGAGGAAGAAGGGAATGAAGGCAGGAAAGAAGGAGAGAGGCAGACCTTAGCTCCAACAGTGGAATAATTTCCACTGAGCAAAAGCTGTCCAGGGATGGCCTGGAGACCCCAGGGTGGTGAGTTTCCCATCGGGAGAGGTGTTTGAGCAGGGGCAGTGTGCCCACTGGCTGAAGGCGTGGTAGGAGAGTTGACTTCTTGGTGAGGGCCTGGTGTAGATGACATCGAGGGTCCTCCCTGGTTCTGCAGTGCTCAGGTTCTGTGAACATTGTTATTTTTCCAGAAATTCATCTGAGCCGCCAAAAAAAATCACCCCGCGGGCTGTCTAAACCAGTAAGATTCAGGGACCAGTCCAGTCTCCCCCCTCCACCCACAACCACCACCCCTCACAGCACCCCCTTCAAAAACCCAGCTGGGCTTGCATGCTGCCCTGGGGCAGGGCAACTTCTGAAAGGTAGGGGAGGGCTGGACTGGAACCCAGGCCCACGGCCTAACCCAGAGCTCCTTGCTGCTCTGCCCCACTCCCTGATGCTAGAGGAGGAAAGAAAGAGTTCACAAGAACTGACAGATCCCCTACCTGGCCCTTTCCAGGGAGCATCAGCTCTCTTCAACCCTTCTCCAGGTGGGAGCTGGGCTCTTCCTTTCTGGAGATAATCTGGATTACCCCTTCATGTTGCTGGGTGACCTTGGGCAAGTCCCTATCCCTCTCTGAGCCTTCACTTCCTCATCTGTCAAATGAAGACCTTGTTTCCTGCCTGGGCGGTTCTGGGGCTGAAGGGCAGGGTGACATGGACAGCCCTGGGCCTCTATGGAGGTGAGGTGCTTGGCTTTCTTCCCAGGACCCACAGGCCGCCGTGGGATTGGAAGCATGTGGAGGCGGGAAAGCTGACAGAGTAGCACGCCTCGAAGGCCGCCTTCATCCCAGTCCTGCTGTGGGGAAAGTGGGCTTTGAACAGGATCCAAGTCTAAGATGTTTCCGGTGAGCTGCCAGGGACAAAGGGCTCTCAGACATCTTGGGTCCCCAGTGGCTGGGGTGGGCAGGGGCTGATTCAGCCAAAGGAAGCTCTAGCGCAGATTAGAGGAAGCCCCGTTCCTAAGCCCCACCGAGCTCACAGACGGTCCCCAACCTGATTCACTGTGCGGCACAGGCTTCGGAGTGATGTATTTGAAAGGTATTCGTGACGTTCTCTCATCACCTCTGCCCCTCACTCTGTGAATTATCATGAAGAGTTCTTTAAGAGTATAATAGAAGACAAAGAAAGATGCTATTAATGTTATTTTGCCAAAAATATTTTTGTAGCATAATATATTAATAAAAGATATTATGAATTCAATGGCTTAGTGTTTCTGTGTGACAGCTCTTCTCTTCCTGCCAAGGAACGTTCAGGAAAATTGCCTTTGCTGTGAGGACTGAGGCCTGCAGTGGAGCAGAGGAGTTGGAGTGGGCCGCGTTTTCACGCACGGAAGCGGGCAGGGTCTGCGAGGGTGGTTTCAGCAGGAACCCGATGGCTGGAGAGGCCTCACATGCCAAATGAGGCCCAGATACCCTCACCCCAGCCAGACTGAGCTGCCCAACAATGTGGAGAAGGAGCTGCTCAGTGACTTTAAACACAGCTCACACCCGGGGCCAAGGCTTGGGGCCTCCCTTTCTCTGCCTTTCTCACTCACCAAGACCTGCTGATTCTTCCTGATCAGCTTTTCCTACACACAGCCCCATCCCACTGCTCCGCCCTGGCCCGGACCTTTACCTGACCCCTGCTACCTGCAGCCAGGCCTCCTCCAGTCCACTCCCCCCTCGGTAGCCAGAGAGCGCTGCCAATCAACAAAAGTGACCACGTATCTCCCCTGCTTTGAAAATCCTTCAGTGTCTCCTGGATATTGACAAAGGTCACACAAGGCCCTCCTGAGATCTGGTCCCTAACCATGCCTCCCGCAAGAAAGCAATCTCTCGCCAGTTCTCCCCCCAGCACTTCACACTCCAGAGTCACTGGCAGCCTCAGCATCTTCCAGCTCCATACCCTGCTTTACCACCTGCTGCCTCTGCACTTGCTGTTCCCACAGCACTGCCAGGCTTTCCTCTTCACACCTTGCCCGTTGCTATGTTGAACTCCTACACATCCTGCACAACCCAGCTCCAATGGTATCTGCTGCAAATACCTTTCCCAACTCCCCAAGCCGCGCCTGCCCTCTGTTCCCACAGCACCTAAGGCTGTGCCGAGATATTCTGCAGTGCCCACTCTGCCCCTTGGCTTCCTGGTGCCAGGACCATGGGCTGTGAAGTCAGCTTCAGCACAGTGGTTTCTGTAGGCCATACAGACACTGTATATAGCGGGGACTTGTGGAAGAATGGTGGAGTAAATGGAGAGGAAAGAAAGAAGGGAAGACTCCAGGTAAAGCATGTTGTATCTGTATTATCACGGCACCT